TTAGATAAGATAAGACTCCCTTAATCTATCCTACTGAACTGATAAGATAAGATAACTGAATAGATAAGACTCCTACTAATCCCTGCTACTGAAAGCAGATAAGGTAAGAATACTGAATAGATAAGATAGGATGAGAACACTAAATTGTTGCTGCTGAGAACACTAAATTACTACTGCTGCCGCACTAAATTACTGCTGTTGCTGCCGGTGCCCACATCATGTGGCCTAGTAGTGAGCTTACAGTTGTCAAAACCTGGTAACTAACGCTCGAATCTTCCTATTGTTAAAGTTTGTAGTTTTTGTACTAATAAAACAAATTATGAGAGAAGATCATTAATTAGCAGAATTAATGAGAGAATTTGAATTAGGCACTAAAATTCAAATTTAAAATTAAAGTAAGAGTAATTAACTAATTAACAAAACAAAAAGCTAGACTTAAATATAGGAGTAATCGATGAGATTAATGAATGAAGGGCACCCGAAATAAATCAAGTGTATTGGACTGTTTCGGGCTTGTATCAGCCGATACAAAGCCAAAATAGCCCGATACGGGCCCGTATCAGCGTGATACATACGAAAAGAAATGGAACGGCTGATTTCTACACATTCCGAGTATCAAGCTCTTGTTGGAACAATACGTATTGGCCGATATGGCCCGATACGTTGCAAAATCTTGAACCTTGATTTCCCATGCCTTTTGGACCCCAAAAACAGCAGCCTTTAGTTCTGCACCCATTGAGTCCCCTTGCCCCATGGGCCCAGAAAACAAGAACACCAATTTTCCTTCACTATTTCTTATTACCCCTCCCATTCTAGCACCACCTGGATTACCAAAACAGCTCCCATCAAAATTCAACTTGAAAAAAAAAATCACCACTTGGAGGTTTACAAAAGTTGTATTTACAAAAGTATAAGATGTCGAGGCATCACAAGGTACCTCAGAAGCCACAGCTACCTAACTTTTTTTTTATCAGTAACAAAATGCTTTATTAAATAATAAGATTTGTGAAACTTTAAGTACAAGAAAGGGGAGGTAAACTATCTTAACTCCCCCACAACAAAGGAACAAAGAAGAAAGCTAAAATTAGCCCAAAACATAGATTCCTTAAGCGCCCCTTGCTTGGCTAACCCATCAGCCATTGAGTTAGCACTTCTCTTCACCCAGCTGCACTTCACCTCAATATCCCTACTCAGCCATTTAAATTTTTTCTTTTCATTGCTGTAGCTCCACAGCTACCTAACTTTTACACACCCTTCTAAGTATTATGTACAAAGGCCTGTTTTCCTATTGGTCACTTCCAAAAAAAATTGCTTTCTATTTACTCCCTTTTTGACCAGTGTGTCTGCCAAGCTGTTAGCTTCCCATCTTTCCATTGAAAGTTAGCTCTTAGTTCTGATTTTCATATGAATGTTGGCTGTCAGGGCGTGAGTCCTAAAATAGACTAAAAACTATTTAGCATCCAAGTAGGAATCAGACTAAGGGTTGAAGATTTAAACCATAAATCCAAAAATTAATTCAAGAAAGGCTATACTAAAGAAGTAACCAAAGAAATTGAGAATCAAAAGTTCAAGAGAGCATGGTATCAAGTCCTGAGAAAGAAAAAAATATTCAGATTAAATAAAGAAGCCAAATAAGATATACCTTTGAAGAGCGCAGAGGAGACACATAGACATTATGTGCTGCAGATACTTTCTTTGGAGACATGTCAGGGAGACTTGGAAATGGAGTCAACCTAGGTGATCCAGGGCATTGTCCTAATTAACAAACAAGAAAAGAAAACTAAGGAGTTTTATTCTTTTCCTTCATTTTTGCCTTCTCCTTGGAAGAAAGAAACTTGACCAGACAAAGAATTCAATATTAACTTGCAGAGAAGAAGAGAGAACATACCATCAGTGTTGTTGGTTTCAGGAACTCGATTACTTCTTGGTAATGCTCCAGCAGGACCAAGCTCCACCAGAAGAGGTTTTACAGCCGGAATAAAAATTTCATTGTAAAATGTGATAATATCAACGTGCTCCTGCCCTGTTTTCTGTTTCCAATGAACATAGAGGCACATACTTCATTAGAAAATTCATATGAAGAACTAAAAGAGCAAAATTCAAGATATATACCCCATTGCGCTTTGCAGATGACCAATCAACAAAGACACTGCGGAAAACTTGAGGTTTACACTGTGGTTGCTTCCTGTAGTTGGAAATGATTTCCCTAAAGGTCAGGTTTAATTGAGAAATCTGCAAGACAGAACACATAGGATAAGATAAACAAAATGGAAAACAAAAAAGACCATTTATGCAGTTATGCTCTAAGACATATTTAGTTGCAGACCTTTGCTACTCCATATAAACTACAGAGGATAATTTGGTCAATATGCCGGTTAAAGAAAAGAGTTGTCCGCTGACTAAGGATCTGTTGAACAAGACAATAAACACTTTCCCTTATCTGCTGAGACAGTTGTAACCTTTCAACCAAGCCACTGATTCTGACAGCAGCTAACTTCACAATCTACAAAGCAAAACAATATGATGTCAAATAAAGAAATTTCACATTACTTGTGTCTGTTTAACTGCACTTAACACTGTTTACATTGTCAAACAAAAATTATAAAATACCAAGAGATGTGTGCAAATCAAGAGTCTTATGGATGGGTTTAAAAAGAGGACAGTGGGTGAGGTAGGAAGGGAAGTGGGTGAGGACAGTAAAGGTTACAACTGACCTAAATAACTTAAATTCTGAAGTGGGTGAGGACAGTAAAGATTACACTCAACATCATCAATTTTCATTTTGTGTAACCTTTACTGACCTAAATAACTTAAATTTCTAATTTTGAAAACTGATTTAGTGTCCTACCCATAACAGAATTTAAGATAGTAGCCAGTTGGTCATGTTCAAAGCCTAATCAATGGATGCCTTAAATTTCCATTCTCCTCTCATAATAGAAGTTTTTTTTCTTTGGGGTATCTTGGTCTTCTCTCAGAACCGTTTCCTCTTCTGGTAGATTTCATTTTTCCCTTTTCTTTTAATGATACCTTAAATATTGATCACCAGGAAAAATAAAATAAAGGCAGCAAATAGCTGACATCAGAATTGTAATGAGGTATACCTTGCTGAAAAACACATTGATTCCTGTCTCAGCACATGTTTCCCCTCCTCCTCCTGGGTTTGGCCGTGTTGGGCTGTAAAGGCCAACCAAACCATTAAATAAGGCACATAAAATGGACAGAGTTGCTAATTACTTCTCCATAAGTAGATTGTTACCTGGCAAAAGCAGACTGTAAAGGTGGTGGCAGCTTTGGCTTAAGGCTATTCAAGGCCAAGAGGCGATCCTTCACAGGGGAAGTGAAGGAATTGCATTCTACCAAAACATTCCGGCGCTCACCACACGATCTCTTTGGAGAGCGAATATCTCCATTTTGACCTAAAAAAATGAATGGAAAATTAGACCAGAAGACTCGTAATTTTACAGAAAAAAGGGAATGTTCCAAACTATTCCATTAGCTTCCAGGATATTCCTAAAGCAGTAGTATCTCAAAAAAATAATAATAATTCAGTGAAGTGGTTATAGAAGTTTTTCTAATCCATGGTAAACTGACAAATATAAAAAACACATGTACAAAAAATAGAGATTAATATGTAGGGAGATGGTTCAGGATCTTCAGATGAAAATTTTAATAGCACCTACCTAGTGAAGTTTCATGCTTCTGAAAAGATGGAAGGGGAGGCAAGCCTCCACATGAAACATTGTTCTGCACTGCGATAGCATCAAGTGATGGCATAGGTTCTGCTAATAATCCCATTCGGTTTATTTCTGCAGAAAGTGTTGGTCTTGCAACAATCAAAGAATTATACATGGAAGACCCCTTTTCCCATACCATGCTCTCTAAAAGCCTTTCTTCCAAAGAATTTAAATGCCTCCTCAGTTCCCTTGGAAGGGATTCCTCATGCCTAATGAAACTCTCTATCACCTTGCTCAAATCAAAAGCAGTGATGCCAGTTCTCTCCAAAACCGCAGGGAACAGCATAGTAACTGTCTTGTGTGTTGCTAAAACCAATTCTGCCGAACAAGCTAGCATACATCTGTGAAACCTCTCATTTGTTAGCAAAGAGGTTAAGTTACCACCATGCAATATTTGAGCTTCTGCTCTACACATTGCTTCCAGGACCCTATAATATAATTTCAGAGCTTCCATTCTTCTCTGCTCTGCCCATATTCTGTCCATAAGGTTTGCACTTGGCAGGCTCCCAGTGACTGACCGCTCCCCAAGAGCACTACTTGGGAAAATAGCCTCCAATATGATACGGGCCCTACGTATTACATCTGCAGTTACATCTCTGTCGCATGATGAAAGAAAGCGTTCCAGTTCTGCTGAAGGTTTTGAAGGAAGTGGACTGATTATGGTCCGGAGCCATTTTGCTGTTGTCATTGCCATGCTTACTGGTGTAAGTGTGATCTTCAAGTTAGCACCAACTATACTACTTTTTGCAGGTGAAGCAAAAGGTGAGCATGGGGGAGATAGTGGACTTGTTATTGTCTTCACTGGGGAGGATATTGCATCAATCTTCCTCTGTGCAATTGGGTGTACAAAAATTATTAAAACTTAAGTCATTTCTGAATTAGCATAATTTGCACTCTTTGTTCAGTAAACAACAATGATGGCAACAATAGCAACAGTACCTTTGCTCCACAAATACTCATTCCACCTCCTGACAAGCTTCCTGTACCAAGTAAGCTGTCTTCATCATTAACAAACATTCTCTCATCTAGTTCTCCTTTGTTATGAATAGCTTCATCATAATCTTTCTCTAGAATGGTTAAACTTGCTGACAAAGATGAATCTTCCATTAAATCTTCAAAATAGGTCAACCCTTCTGCAATGAAAAGGATAAGAACTTTAATTGGGGTGAAGAAGATAAAGTGGTTCTTAAGGGATATGACAGTATGCTTTCATTGGGCTCCTAGGGATTCTAAGGGGATTGCTGATTAGATAGACAGGGGGTTGTCAGGGAACAATTACTTTGGGCTCAATTGTATTAACTTTTATCTCATAGGGGTAGCCATACCCCACTCGTTCATCTCTGTACATTTTTGTTTATATTAATGAAATGATACCTGTTAACTATAAAAAAAAAAGAACTTTAATTGGGGTGAAAAAAAGAGTCCAATGAAATGAAAACAGATTTGAAAGAATAACCTGTGTCAATATAATCCAGGTTTACAGTTTTGCATTCTGATGCCAAACAGGGTCTCTTCTTCAAGATATCCACTATTAAGTTATTGGCTTTCTCCATTGTTCTTTTCAACTCATCTTCTGATGTATGATAAATGCTGCAAAGGGATGTAAGAAGGTCCACACCTTTGTTTCCTTTTCTAACTGAACCAAACATCAAAGGTGTAATGTCAAATGACAATGTGAAAGCTAGAGAAAGATAAAATCAGATAGAGATGTACACAATTTGTGTCCATAAAACTGCAATATCATTACCAAATCGAGGGGAATCACGGATAGAGAACTTCCTGAGGTGGACAGGAACATGTAGGATCAAGATGGCCTATCACAAATTACATGACATATTAAAGGCATATTTTATTTTTGATAGGTAGTTTGATGTTACAAAAAAAGGTAAAGACATCCTAGTGAAAAAAGAAAAAATGACAAGCAAACAATGGAATCGTTCAATATAATCTCTGATTGCATAACATACTAAACGAAACATACTAATAAATTAATCTAATTAATGTTGTTAAGTGACACAAGATTGCAACTGACCAATATTGAAACCAAACCATTAGTGCAGGTCACCAGGTCTTTGAACCGGCTAAATGCATGGACACGGAGTGCTAAGAACAGCAACCATCCAAACTGATGGTAATCTGATACATAACCTGTAGGGCGAACAACTGGCCCTTTATCAACATTTGCGTCACTTGTCAAGAAGAACTCCTGGTATGCATTTTTGTAGTGCCTACATGCCAGGATAGGGATGCAGCCCAAAGTTAAAACTTTTTATGAGGATAAAAGAAAAGCAAGCTCAGAAACTAAATGTAACAGAGGTAAATTAAGCAAGGTACATACTGAAAGAGACATTGAGTGCAATGCAATGATACAATACAGAGAGTCTGAAATAGAAGATGAAACATAGCTACCTGAAATATTGGCCTAGATGATTTTACTTGAACCCACTATTATCTAAGAGTGAAGCCACATTAAACCACTGGAAGAATTTCCAAAATTTTCAGGATTGCATTTGAAATGAGCTCCATCATAGCAAATCATGCTATTTTTATTGGTAACAAGTAAAACGTTAGACACTTAGTAACCTAATCAGCCCATATGGATCACCACTCTCATTCAGGAGGATTTTTTTGGTTTTTTTTTTTTTTTTGCAAGAGAAAAATCCATCTGAAAGCATGGTTTGCACAAAAAAAATATTTTCCAACTAGAAAATCATATTTAAGTGTCAAATCAGGCCTTCCACTCTTGCCCCCTTGTTGCATGACATCATTAAATGTAGAACCACAGAAATGAATCATTGTTGGCTCTATAAAATTGACAAGACACCAAATGCCCACCATCCATGATATGTCTGCACAGGTATACAAACTAATTTGGTCAAGTTTATATGGTAAAAGAGATTGTGTATTCTCTCAAGGAGTGGGGTATCTGATCCATTTATTGGTGTTTCACATGCATATAGAATTTAGTGCAAGGAAAATATCCTTTTATGGTCTGCACATGCTTTTATTGTGTAATTACCTAAATATTCTAATTATTTTCTAAAATTAACTAAATGACTAATTATATACATAACACACATACATACAACAAACATGTATATGGATTTCTATGCATATGCTCTTTCAGAAAGCTCCTAAATTTTAAGCATAATCTAGTCACTTAGGTTTAACAGCAAAACCTTTTTATAGAGGGTGGTTGGATCTTAGTTCCTTTTATTTGCTTAATTGGGATCCACTTACCTTTTTTCTGATCAGTAATTGGGGTCCATTTCCTCACATCCCATGACTATAGGCCAGCATTGTGTTTTCCCGACCCTAGGGCCCAAATACAACTGTGTTTTCCTGACCCTACAATGCCATCCATAATGGGCGCATTCATAATGAAAAGACTCTTCCATATAACAAACCCATTTGCAAAGAGTCTCCCTCCCTCTAAAAACAAGCATTCAAAAAATTTGTATCAATTTATTCAACCAATGCCTCTAAAAGACTTTACTCATATTTGGCAATTGATCCCATTCCAATTGCTGCCCCATGATCTGGTTATATAGAGATATGTTATCATCACATGAATATTCCTGGATTTTTATATTGCTCAGAACTCCAAGATATTTAAATATGGCTTGACAAAGAAAAAATAAATAGAGAGACAGAAACAAGTCTATGGCACATGGTTTCCATATCCAGTGCATGAGTTTGGAGGGTATTGTATGAATTTATTGTTGGAGCAATCACATCACTGAACCATCTCTTTTTCTTATAGCAGATATATGCATCTATACAAACTGCTATTATGATGCCACTGTATTTTCATGTATATATACATATTGTCTAGGCTTTTAGGAGGCAGAAGCAGCATGTTATAGGCTACTGGGTCTATTTAATTCTTTTATGACATTTCATTTAACACAGTTCTCCAAGAAACGGGTATGTGCAATTGAAGATTTGGTTTTGAACAGAAAAAAAATGGAAGAAAAACGAAAAGGAATAACATAGTTGTGGCAATAGGCTCTTGAGAACATACCCCATCCTTATAAAAATAAGAAATAACAAAACTGTATGCTTTTTTCCAATCTTTCTTGTAGAAGTTATTGACAACAGAAAAGAAAAAAGACTATTAGTTAGTGTACTAAAAAGGAATCAGAAAGAAGGTCATACAAGAGAGTGAATAATTTTAGAGCCAAGGAATGTGTTCAGCAGCCAAAATTCTCATCAAGAATTTCCCACAACTAAAAGCAATGTAGAAAAGGATACTTACTTGCTTAGAAGGCTCAAGTGCACAAAATTGGTCTGTAGCTCTTTAGCCTAATTTCAGAAAAAGTAAACAAAGAATTAGAAGGAAACATTGAATTAGGTCGTAGCATGAGCTTATGCACATATTATACTACAATTTCTCATATCCAACTCTCCAAATGGCATACCTCTAGCCTCTTCTCCCAATCTATGCCATAGAGGTTTCTTAGAATTGGACCGACTTTGATAAAGAACTGTGGCATTTCTTTGAAGAAATCCACAACACTGTAAAACATAAAGCAATAAAGTCAAACAAAACTAAAACAGTAAGGGGAAATAATTCATGAATCACAACTAGATTGGAGTAAGATATACTTCAGCTTTGCCACCCTCAGTATTTGGCACAAATTAAAACCATTCTGAGAACATTCCCCTCCCATCGTCTCAGTATTCTCCTCGCTTAGTCTCTTCACAGAGTACAAAATAAATGCAAACCAGAACCGTTCGATTTCTTCGGGCTGTGAATCAGAACATCAAGTCCAACCAAATCAAGTTACGACAAAAGTCGAATTTCAAAACAATGAAGTCGAAGAGTCTGCATAAACAAAAATAAACTAAACTCAAATTAAGACAATGTTTTAATTGCGAGAAAAGGGAATATTACCGATCCGCTTCCAACAGCGGACATATTTGCCAACAGAAGGTGTTTGCTTTCTCTGAGCAACTTCATAGCTTCAGAAAATACTCTTTCGCCGAGGGATAATCCGCTCTACAACCAGATTCCAAATTCATGGATCAAGTAGAAGTGGTGGAAGTAGAAGGCAAATTTTTCAAACAATAAGCCGTAAAAAAAAAAAAAAATCGCTGAGAGAATTCTGAAGAAATTAACAATCAGTAGAGAAAACCTTGCAGAGCTCCGTAAACCGAGCTTCCATGCCATCGTCATCGCTGTAATGTGAATTATTCGTCGAAATGAGGGGTTTTGCTTCCTCCATCTTCAGCGCAGCTAAGGTCACAGTTTCAAACTATGTTTCCCTCGCTCTTAAGATCTATCACCATTACTTCACTCTTCAGAGAAAAAACAAGCAACGCAGACTTTAAGTCCAAAGAATATATTAAAAAAATACAGAAGAAAAGAAAAAGATCAACATATTGTTGAAACAAGCAAAATCGATCATCGATCTCCGATCTCCGATTTCAGTTTTCACGAATCTCAACAGCTGAGTATCTATTTGCAATGAGCCAGAGAAGCCCTACCTTTTCGACGAATTCGGAATCGAAGAACGCCTCCTCTGATCGACTGGAACGAGGGGCTCGAGCTCAAATGCAAATTGCAAAACCCTCTCTCTCTCTCTCCCTTCCTCTGGCTTCCTTCGGAAACCCTCCGTGCTCTCGCGCGGGAAAACATGGCATTGTCATATACATCTATGAGTCCATCATATACGATACCAGACCATCCATACATAGTGAACCAATTAAAATTTGACACGTGTAAAGTGATTCGTCCTTTTACCGCCAAATTTCGTTCCCTTGAGGACAGCAGTTGGAATTTGGAAATCTACCGTTGCGATCGTCAAGAGTGAGTCGGAACACTAACCCGGTTTCTCGGTAACTGTGAAAATTACCCGGGGCCTCGGTGGGGGGAATCTGGGACAGTAAGCCCAACCCGAGTTGCTAACTCGGGCCTCGCCTGGCCATCTTCTTTTCGTCTTGAGAGTGACGTTCTTTTTATTGCCAAGCTACTGTTGGATGGCTAATTGGCTATAGTGAGAACCTTCTTGGCTTTATCGCGGGCTGCACGACACCTAATGCATGGTTTCACCCTAGTTATTCAATTCTTGCTCAACTGGGCTGCTTGATTAATACCTGTTTCATTTGGTCCATTTGCTCTGATTTCTTGTATTCTACTAGCAAAAAGGAACATGACTTGTATTAAACTTTATTGTTGAATAGAATTGCCTTGCTGGCTTCAAAAGAATAAAGAAAAAAATTGGATGATCCGTTGAAAAAAGGCAAATACAGGAGATACCCTATATTTTCGGATGGTGGCACTTTAAGATCCTGAACTTCTAAAAATCAAGATTGTTTAGAAAATGAATCATTTTGACCACTGGTTTTTAAGTTGACAGTTCGACTATTTGAGTCAAGTCATTCAAACGTTTCAAATATATATCTAATCCTACCCATTGGATTATAATATTAGGGTAGGATGGGATATAAATGTTATAAGAAAGGGGCATGACCGCATGAGAACAAGAGTGAAAGGAGGGTTTGTAACGTCTGTCGGCTCAGAGAAGGGAAAAGAGAAGAAGAAGAAGGAAGAGGAGGGGGGAGGAAGCAAAAGTGTGGGTGACCTGTAGTGGCGATGCATCTCTTAGATCTCTCTCTCTCAGATCTGAGATCGATCTTGCCTCTCTATGTTTTTCTTTATTTTTTTATTTTTTATTTTTTGAAAAATTTAAATAAAACGCATTAGACTGCAAACCATTGCCTAGGTCGAATGGTTCAACGATCAGATTGTTTGGTTAAATGGTTTACTGACCAATTCAATGGTTATTAATAAGAGATTGTTCAATCGGCACTAAAACAAAACCTATACTTTTATCGATTTCTGATTCAAACAGTCCAATCATTTGGGTCAACCGGTTTAAAAACACTGAGAAAAAAAACGTCAAACCTGAACCAGAATTTAATTACGTTCAGCCCTGCACCAAATAGATGGACTATGGAGTCTAATTCACAAAAATGAGTATAATGCAATTTTGCCGTAGACCTCGCCGTTCGGTTTCGTGATATTTGTCCAAACAAATTTCAACTTTGGGCCTGTCGTACCATTTTCTAACTGTGATCGAGTAGCTAAAGCTCATTCATCAGGGATCTTACTAGGTATGCTCCAGTTTGAATCAAACCGATAAGACTATTAGTGATACTGAGTTGATTAATTGAGGCCTAAGAACAATTAATCCAGTCTATCGAATAACTAATTTGTAGTGTCACAAAAAGAAAAGAAAAAAAAAATCAAGTAGGATAGCAATGTAGAATCATCATTTGTTCATCAAGGGGGCTAAAAGCTAATGCCCTAAAGATTGGAAACCAACCCATTAAACTTTAGGATTCTTGGGTTTATAGTTGGAATTGAAATGCTCTATTTTTCAGATAGGAATTAAAATGAAAATTAGAATCAGTTGGAATGTGATTTCATTCCCCAAAAAAGGGGAAAGGAATAATCATTCATTCAAATGGAGAAATACCATTCCACCACAAATAAGAATAATATTCCAGTTCTACCCAACCAAATAATTAGAATCAGAATGACTCATTCAAATTCAAATTCCAAACCTTTATTTCCACGAACAAAATGGGACCTTAAATTTAACTTAAAAGCACTGTGTTTAATGCCATATTTCATTACTAAGTTAAGCCATGTCTGTATCTTTCTCAATAATACCTGTATTAGCAAGATTATCAGCTGGTCTATTAGCCTCTCTAGAAGCATGAACAAACCAGATATTAAGGGTATTATAGAGAGATTTAATCTCGTGGATATAATAATGAAAACCCCAAGGATAGCCGCTACTTCAACTAAACCATTCCTAATTCCAACATTCACCTCATTATTATCACTCTCAAGAAGTCAAGATAATGGCGGGCATCTCTTTCTTAGATCAACCATGAATGGAGCAATTTTTTGACGACTTATGATCTTCGAGTTAATAAAACCCAAGGCCGTATGCATAGTGATCATTGGTTATGATATTAGAAGAGTGAAAAATGCATGTTTTCCACAAAAGGCTTAAAACCCAAAACAAATGCCCTGAAAAGTATGTCGTGAAGATATGTTCATGGGCCAGGCCATGCTGGGTTTTTGCTCTTTATTAATATAAATTTTTTAGGCCCGAGCCCGAGTCCAGCCCGACCAACGGGCCTAAAATTTGGGCCCGGGCCTAAGCCCGAAACCCGACCTGGGAGTCTGAGCGCCAATGCCCTTTGAGATTGAGAGAATGGTGCCTACTGAGTTCACCAATTCCTGAGAGTTTGAGAGTGAGAATAGAAATTGAGAAAGTGAGAAGATAGAAGATGACAACAGTGTCGGCTAGAGAGAGAGAGGCGATCTAGATCTAGTGGCGCCAGCCGCCGGAGCCTGAGTTCGTAGAATGAAAACGGTGCGCCTGGGTTCTGGTGGCGCCAACTAGAGAGAGAACTGAGAAGATAGAAGACATAGTTCTAAGAAGATAGAGAATTGAGAATGAGAAGAAAGAAGATGAAAACGGTGTCGGCTGGAGAGAGAGAGAGAGAGAGATCATCGCCGAAGAGAGAGATGACTAGTTCTAGTGGCGCCGGCCGCCAGTGCCTGAGTTCGCAGGTGCGGTTGGGTTTGCCAGTTTTGACAGTTGATAGGGAGAAATGAGAGCCGCTTCTGAGAGTGAGAGTGAGAAAGGAGAATGAAAAGAAAAGTTTTAAGAAGTTAGGGTTAGGGTTAGGCAGTTTAGGAATTTAGGGTTTAACTTATATAAAAGTTGGGTCGGGCCAGGCTTTTTTAACAAATCTCGAGCCTGGCCCGTAAGATAGTTGGGCTCGGGCTTTTAGGCCCAAGGTCAAGCCCGCAGGCTAAAACGCAAGCTCAAGCCCGTCTGGGGGCCAGCCTATCGAGCTATCGGGCCCATGAATAGGTTTAGTCGCGAATTTTTAGATATATTTGGATTAAACGTTGCCAACATCCAAAACAAATGTTGTGAAAAGTCAATTTTTAGTAAGGGGTAACTTTTTTAGCAATGTTTTAAAGCTGATTCGGAACCATCAGTGGATTGATTGTATGGATCGAATAGATGGATTGTTGAAAATAAAAAAAAATTAATTAAAATGAAAATAGCCAAAAATCATTGTCTAAATCGAATGGGTCAATGGTTTGACCACCTGGACCAGCGGATTGCTAACTAAGTAAATGGTTTTTCAGCAAAATACAGATTAAGAGTGAAATCGACCCGATTGCTTGAACAATTCCCAAGCCAAACAGTCCGAAAAAACACTATTTTTTCGTGAATTGGGGTAGTGGATTCAAGTACATTGCAACTAATGTGTAAGCCAACATGCTAATTGGTTTGACGTATTGTTGGATTTTAATCTCATTAGAGATTAAATCTAATGGGATTTGATTGATTAATTACATGAAAATACACCTACACATATATCTTGGAAATAGTTTTTAAATCTTTCACTAAAATCAATCTTTAACTTGTTCCACATTGGAAAATTAAAAAACATGTTTTGAGTTTTTAAATAGGAGCTTATTTACACTCTTTAGATTTATAAGAAGAGAGTATGGAGGCTTGCTACCACACAACATGTGCATTCATGCGTGTGTGTGCAATGCAATGAGGTGCTTTAGAGACACACTTTACTTGTACCCGTGTGGTTCACGTAAGGCATTATTATTTTTATTTGTGTGTGCGTGTGTGTGAGGCTGAATTATGATCATTGATGTTTTAAGAAAATCCAATGGTCATGATTTTATCAGGTGTGATCAAGAGGCATTATTCAGAAGTTAGTAGTCATTAACTTTTAACAGTCATAAAGTTTGAATTTGTAACTATACAAAGAGCATTTTTTGAACCAACACCTTCCTCTTCAAGATGATTCTTCAAAAATTATATATAGTGTCAATCAAGCAAATGAATACACAATTTTTTGAAAAAATCACTCCTGTCTCTCTTAAGTTCGATCTGCTACTGTCTCACAGAAGGTTTCTATGGAGACTCTTCAACTTTGCCGATTGCAGATTCTCACCCAATGCTCTATTGTATCCTAGGAACAAATTTGCTTGTAACCCATCAACAAATTCAATAAAACTGAGTGGGGGCAAATAACGTTTTAATGACAATATCTTTAAACATGGCTCAGAGCTTTTCTTCCAAATTTCCGTGACTCCAATTCCCAACACATATTAAGTGGTATATCTTGTGCATGCATGTGGGCAAGTTCAAATAGATTCCATACATACCCCTTTCTAATATTGCAAAGTCTTTTTGGTCCATCTCCGTAGTAAAAGGGTTAACTTGCGAGTTCGGCTTCAGTCCAAGTACCCTCAGTTAGGGCACTGTTCACGCAATTGGAGGACACACCAATTCGTGTAAATGGTTGAAGCACGCGAGGATGCTTTACGCCGTTACTTAACAACATCCTCTCCTCTCCCTTGACAGCTGCGGTGAACCAGCGGTGGATTCTCTCCTATTTCAGACCTCCACCTCTAGCCTCTCTCTCTCTCTCTCCCCCCCCTCTTTCTCTCTCTTTTGTCTTCCCTCCCTTTTCCTCTTCTTCTGTTCTCTGTTTTGTCACTGCCGAGATCTGGAACACTCCCCTGTTCCGACACCTTGTGAATCGCTTGCCAAAGGGAGCAAGCTTCACCATCATCTTAGAC